AATATATATATATATATATATATATATATATATAGTAGTGTAGTGTAGTGTGTGTGTGTAGTGTGTGTGTGTGTGTGTGTGTGTGTGTGTGTGTGTGTGTGTGTGTGTGTGTGTGTGTGTGTGTGTGTGTGTGTGTGTGTGTGTGTGTGTGTGTGTGTGTGTGTATATATATATATATATATATACATATATATAATAGCACCGTCTCGGTTGAGCTTTACTTTGTAGTACTCCAATCGATATATGTCCACATATGTTCCTATTTACTGATATAGCATACACTGTGTTTCTTGTGTGTGTTTGTGTGTTTGTGTATTCAAAAACATCCCTAAACAACCTACCTTCGCGCAATCATCCCCTGACAGCTCAGAGCGCCGTCTGGATTGAGTTCGACTTTGTGGTAGCCAGACAGAAAGTACGTCGTCAGTGCAGCTGTGTGGCTGAGGCATTGGATGGCTGCGTTCATGAAACAGGTGTTGCCCAGATTCTAGAGAGAGGGCAAAAGATGATTGGTGGTATTAGTATGCGCATCCGACGACTGTGGTAAGTATATAACTTTGTTGCCTTATGTATACAATTCTGTTGCTGCTTTTAGATGTATATATATACATATACATATACATATATAAATACATATACATATAATTACATATATACATACAAACATACATACATACATACATATATACATACGTGCATACATGCATACATGCGTACATGCGTACATACATACATAGGTTCAAAGGTTTTACCTGGAGGCCTGTCAACCCGGGCTGTACCACAGGGACGTCGACGTTTGACTTTGTGCGTGAGTGGAAGAACGATCGATTGCCGTCAGACGATGCCGTGACCTCACACGGCCAATTGTCACTGTCAGTGTCGCGTATCTGTAGAGGGTGTGTGGTGTGCAAAGGGACTGAGACCATTGGTATTTGGTGTACGCCACTTAATCGGGTGCATTTGGGCCCTATCGCAGGTGCATAGAGATGAATATGTATGGGATCGGATGTGTTGGTGGGAGTGATTGGGGCTATTGGAGATAGGCACTATCTCTTGGGAATATGACCCGTGTCTTGGCACACAGATATGAATACGTCAACATGGCCATGGACGTAGCATGTGAATGTGAGATATCAGCCTGCATGGGAATGTGAGATATCAGCCTGTATGTGAATGTGAGCCAAGTTACTCAGCGGCGCTTACATTGATCTGGCAACCGTTTTGACATACGATCAAACTCTAAACTCTGAATCCCAAAACCCTAAAACCCTATAGAGACATACGTGGAGTGTGACACAACTTACGCCAACGAAGAATGTGCATAAGCCGTAGGGATACAACTGGACAAGTGGTGCCGACTATCCGTTAATTGGCCCAGGGCAATCTTACTAATAACAGTTATGAATACGATTAAACCTATTTGATACTACATCTTATCAGTAACAATTGTTAAATTAAATATGTTAGATATCAAATCTTGTCAATAACAGTCCATTGACTATTGAGTTCGCCTAAACTAAAGCGCATTAACCTTACCGTCTCATAAACAACCATGTCAACAGATGTCAACGTAAGGTTTCGGTTTCATCAGCAATAGCCAACAACCACATTCCAACATACACGCTCATATACGATGGTTCACTGCTCATGGAGTCTTTAAACGATTGGTACCGTGCATTTGCCATAGTAGTACTACTCGTATGCTCATATACAATGGTTCACTGCTCATGGAGTCCTTTAAACGATTGGTACCGTGCGTTTTCCATAGTAGTACTACTCGTATGCTCATATACAATGGTTCACTGCTCATGATGTCCTTTAAACTATTGGTACCGTGCATTTGCCATAGTAGTACTACTCGTATGCTCATACACAATGGTTCACTGCTCATGGAGTCCTTTAAACGATCGGTACCGTGCATTTGCCATAGTAGTACTACTCGCATGCTCATATACAATGGTTCACTGCTCATGGAGTCCTTTAAACGATTGGTACCGTGCATTTGCCATAGTAGTACTACTCGTATGCTCATATACAATGATTCACTGCTCATAGTGTCCTTTAAACGATTGGTACCGTGCATTTGCCATAGTATTACTACTCGTTTGCTCATATACAATGGTTCACTACTCATAGTGTCCTTTAAACGATTGGTACCGTGCAATTTGCCACAGTAGTACTACTCGTATGTGATCGCCCCACACACCTCCAGCATCACAGCCTGTCGGTCGATTAGGTCGTTATCATCCAGTCGCGTGGCTTCGTGCAGCAGTGTTATTCTGATTACGCATATGCACAGGAGAAAACATGGTACATCAGCAAGCAGCCCAACTCATAACCGTTTGAACCCAACACGATACAGTAACAGACTATCATGGGGTCACGTTAGACATTTGACAGCAACGAGAGACGGTATGGCTCAGCTGACTAGTCACTCATGTGCACAGACGACCCAGGGCATCGCACATTGTTGTTGGGTCATCTGACAGTACAGTGAGACGATAAAGAAAAGTCCTACCACGTGTGAGCACGGGCTAGACAGAGCATGCACACACGTGTGCTACTTCTGCTACTACAGATGACAGACGTCCCGAACTTCTGCTACGACATACGACCAGAGTGTCAATTCGTTTGTAGCCCTGCCCGTATACACGCTCACCTATTGGCGTTGTAGAAGTTCCAGATGCGTGCGTTCTGGGGAGGCACCACCAGCCCATCCTTCAACGACGCATACGAATCCAGAATGTCCGCTTTCAATTGTCTGCGTGAGGAAGCAACTATGTTTAGAACGGTGTCCTATTAATAGAACAGCGTGGTGTCTGCAACTGAATTAAGACACTATAAATAATATAGGCAATACTGTAGTTCCCATTGGTCAGAGTAATACAGACCAGTAAGCAACGACTAATAGAACACCCCAACGATTGACCACTACATGACAGTTGAGTACCACAACAACAGTGTATCTCGAATTACAAACCAAAGCGGGACGAAACAGGACAAATAACTCAGCATTACTAGCCATCTATGGTAAAGGATTCCAACTCATCTGCGAAAGGTGCAACATCCAAATACGGAGTGGAGGCGCATTACTAGCGACGCTTTGTGTAGGGCTTCATGTGATTAACGGCATGTGTCCCATTAAAAACACAGCCTAGTGATTCATCATTAGCGGCAAGCTATATACGGATTGAAATTATTAACGGCATGTGCCACATTCAGAACACAGCCTAGTGATTCATCACTAGCGGCAAGCTATATAAGGTTTGAAATGATTAAGGGCATGTACCACATTCAAAAAGCGGCCTGGTGGTACAGAACTTCCGATATACTGTGTAAGCGTTCACCAAATTGACAACACAGCGACGTGTTGCATATGAGTCTAATAATTACCTACACGCGCTACATTCTAAACGGGCGTCGTGCTGCACTATTCGCGACGTGCTGTATATTGGTTATACAATAATTTACGACATTGGCTATGAAATAATTTACGACCCGTACTATAGAACCGACAGAATGGGGCCTCACGCACTGCAATTCACGTACTGTGTAGACGCCGCCTTGCTGACATTCATACTGAACTTGACCATCGAGCGCTGTATGTTGAGTTTGAGTTCGCTGGTGGAATGGCCAGGGGATCTGTAAATGTAAAAGGAAAGATATGAGCATGACAGTCAGAGGGAAACAGGCGTTGCGTTAAACGTCTATAAATAACGTTTTGAGTTCGCTGGTGGAATGGCCAGGGGATCTGTACAGGGAAAGATATGAGCATGACAGCCAGAGGGAAACAGGCGTTGAGTGGAATTTGTATGAATGACGTGAATGTGCACATTGGTGAGAGCCACATTATGGTCCAAAAATAGCATGTTTTTTTTATTGACCGGTTTTCTGTACCCGTGGCCATGTACTCGTATACGTCATTTGGATTTTTAATCGTACCACAGAATTGGATGTTAAATAAAAAAAGGGATTGTACCACACAATTGGGATTGATTACGACATTTTTGTAATACAGATATGGTACACTCAAAAAATGTTTTTCTGTCCAATTTGTCCAATAAAAAGTTGAAGTACAAGTTGAAGTACATCTGTCCATGGGTATACAGTGCAGGAACACCTACAGGTGCACATATATACATGTACACATACTAACATGTCTACTTGTGTGGTTCATATTACACCCTACTTCTGAAATAGCACACCCGTATGGCTAGCGACACAGGACTTACTTGACTTTGGTGTTGGTCAATTCTCTAAATACATGTACACACACTAACATGTCTACTTGTGTGGTTGTTATTACACCCTACTTCTGAAATAACACACCCGTATGGCTAGCGACAGCACTTACTTGACTTTGGTGTTGGTCAATTTCTCTAAATACATGTACACATACTAACATGTTCATTTTATGTGGTTGATATTACACCCTACTTCTGAAATAACACACCCGTATGGCTAGCGACAGCACTTACTTGACTTTGGTGTTGGTCAATTTCTCTCGGTCTTTGTCCTTGGGCAGTCCAGTGGTTTGATCGGAATTGTTCCGAGAACTGTACACAAGGACGTACAGTACCAACGGATACAGCTCCACCTATTGACGGGAAGGGGGGGGGGGGTCATGGACAATCAAAGACTTTAGTGTATATCACAGCCTATCGATATGATGGTACATCTGGCAAGTAGCATAGTTTGTACGGCAACTTACATGGTTTACTTTCCACTAACATGGTTTATTTTCCACGAACATGATTTACTTTCCCTTTAAACATAGAGAGTATTTGTGTTCAGGGAGCGGACATCGGGGAAACAAATAGAAGTAGAAGAAGATGTCTGATTTAACATTAGATCTTTAGATGCAATTCCACGCGGCCAGTCGTTGATATGGCAACGGACATGATATGTGTTCATAGAAGTCTAAACTAGGGAGATCGGTGGTTGTGGGCTGGTTAGACACCCACTCGAGTGATTACGTTTGCGTTGTGGGCTGGATAGACACCCACTCGAGTGATTACGTTCGTGTTGTGGGCTGGTTAGACACCCACTCGAGTGATTACATTTGTGTTGTGATCAACCCGAGGCGACTCTAAAGTATGGACATACCACTAGTAAGCGATAGACTGCGTAGTGTGTCAATTCAAGACAACGGACTCTCACAGGTTTTTGGGCTTTCAGACATTCAGACTTTCAAAACACGTTCACCTTGGTATATATATACAACCCTCTAAAACCCTAAAACCCTAAACCCAAACACACCTCTAGCTTCATATTGTTGATTCCCGCAGGGATGATGGGCCTCTCCAGCTCAAACTGCGAAGTATACCAATGCCGCAACACACGCCACACAGTGTACGGCACCAGAACATAGTCTTGGTTCTGCACCAGGTTCCACTTGAGCCTGTTTTTGTAGGCGCTGTTGAAGCTCTGGGTGTGCAAGCAATCAGGTGTAGTGCGAGTGTTAGTACCCACGTGATGTTGATACGTTTTATACTATACAGTTTGTTCACAAGTGCACCGGCCCGCACTGCCACAATGCGTTTGAGAAGGTTCGCTTACAGTTCAAGCCTTCTACACTGCCGCCAAGATTGGGTTGGGGATGGATACCAGATGTAGTAGATAAGTCATATGTGTGTGAATACGTATGTAGGAGTGGAGGTACAAATCCAAGCAGCAGTAGTGTAATAAGTAGTGTAATGCTATAAATGTACACACCACAATGCGAACATGAACCATTCTTCTTGCATAGATACCTATGTAACATACCTATATATACACATAAACTCAACGTACGGACAGACAAGCATGTTCACCTATAGGTATGTCCGAATATGCCTATAGACACATGTATACATGTGTATGGATCTGCACATATACACCTATATGTATACATGTGTATGTATATACACACCTACACCTATATGTATACATGTGTATGTATATACACACATACACTTATATGTATACATGTGTATGTATATACACATATACACCTATATACTGATGTTCACAGGCAGGCCTGTTTGACCGCGTGGATCAATCCCTTATACAGTTTGTCTCTAAACCCTTTGCACGGACATACTCTTGGCGGCTCTAGTACTGGTTCCTCAGGGGCTTTGGTTGTTGTGGGAATCTGGGCTGCAGCAGGCGCCGCCGGCGGCGTCGGCGGCGGCGGCTTCTTTGACGGCTCCTTCTATTGAATATATATACAAATCAATACGTTGCGAGTTTAGTAATGAAAGACATACACATCACTTTTCTATATATATACAAATCAAAACGTTGCGAGTTTAGTAATGAAAGGCATACACACCACTTTTTCTATGCTTGTTAATAGAACTATGCCCACCAGATAGTGGCGACGATGGCCATCGAATTGGCGGTACAATTTGGTTGCAGTGTCCTTACATCCACGTATAACAGTTTGAACAACCCAAAGATGCTTTCCTTATATTCTAAGCGCAAATACACAAATGTTAACGTATTCATATATTCATATGGCATAGACATACGTGTATATACATATACACGCACACAAGCTAACCTAATACACGCACACTCACTCCCCATTCACAACAAGAAATTCCATACACAGTCCAATCTCCAAACATCACTATCACACGACCCAAAACACCATTCAATATAATACATTTCGTATTATACGTCCATAAATCTCGGTTTATACACCAATACATACCGGTTTATACGCTAGTACATACCGGTTTATACACTAATACATACCGGTTTATACACTAATAGATACCGGTTTATACACTAATACGTACCGGTTTATACACTAATACAAACCCGTTTATACATCAATATATACCGCTTTATACTCTAAGACGTACCGATTTATACACAAATACATACCGGTTTGGTATGCAATCCAAACCATTTCTTTTCAGTCTTTTCCTTCAGCTCCTTGCCTAACACCTTCACCTTGACACTGGGCCGTCTCTTAGTATCCTCTGTCGAACTGCTAGAACTTCCCGGCAAATCCATATCAGGCAATTGCCACGTGCTCTTCTGGTTGGGACTCACTGAGATCGTAAAATCCAGTCCGTCTTCGTCGGCGATGAGTGAGCTGTTGTCTATAGGTCCAGGCGCCCCCAGTCTATAAATAGATGGTAGGTAGATACGGCAGTGATGAGATTCTGGACTTCATAGCCAACTCAACTCAAATCCGAAATTTCGGTACATACTGCGTATGTATGTACTCTGGAGATGTTTTCTAGTTCAAGCACAATATGTGCGGGGATTCATAAGTTGAGTTCTATTGACCACAATACAAGTTGCTAGTTGCGTATATACATATACATATATGTATATGTATATGT